AGTCACGGAACGAATTAAGTTCCTGACCTGAGGTACAACTGTATTTGGTTTATTTTGTCCAGATGCAGATGTTTTTTCTGCAAGTCCAGAGTAATTTGTTTGTTTCTTTGTTTGTTTATAACATTTACATCTCACAGATTCTGGAAGAATTATCTGTGGCTCCTAAGTGAGTAACTTTTCTTTCTAGGGAGTTGGAGGAAGTTAGTGAAATAGATATTAGTTCTTTATGTCACTTTTGGAATAACAGGTTTGAACATCCTGTTCTGCTAAATCAATGCAAGGTTACTTTAAGCAACATGAAATTAGTTTCTAGTCATCTTAAGATGAGTTTAATACAGCATTTTTTCCCTTTCATGTATACTGGAGGAGACTATTTCATAACAGCTGGTTACAATCACTCTGCTATTAAAGGCAAAATATTAACTGATAGAGTTTGGTCTTGTTCTATTATTGCTACATCAACAGGATTGTTCATATGATGCTGATCTATCACTATTTATATTAAGGATGTATACCTCTTGGCTTTCTCCCCAGATACATGAATTCATTAAGATTAAAATATTTGATGCAAAGGATGTAGTCAGATACAAAGAACTGTGTGTGTATGTGTGTGTGTGTGTGTGTGTGGGGGGGGTTAGGCATGGCCCTTTCTCTTTTCTTTTCTCTTTTCTTTATTATTTTATGATTTTATTATAATTTCTTTGATTGTTGTCTGCTACTGTTACACACACTGCTCCCAGGTTAGGCTTATGGTCACTCACTCACACACGCACAGCCTGTTGAGGCACGTGAATCTTGTCAGCCCCCCTTGCTTTCTACCTGGGTTTTCCAGATAGGTGTGGTTGGAGCAGAAAGAAACCAGCCCTGGTCAACAGCCGGGAAATAATTAGGGACACACACACAACTCACTTCCAACTGAACTCTGAGGCACAAGAGGTTCTTTGTAATACACGGAGACCCAGTAAATTTAAAGTAACAGCAAAACTTTGATTGCAAGGTACATTTGCTCTTTCTCACACACACACACACTCATCTACACTTACCCACATCCTTCCTAACTAGGCTGCCAGGCACTAGGTAGAGGTACAGAAGCCGCCAAATCTGGATCCAAAGATGACTCAGATGACTCAGCTCAGATGAGTTTAATAAATTATGGTTGGTTGCCCAGCACAGATATTTCGATTGGATTGGCGTTTTTGTCCAGCTATCGAGTCTTTCCCAAGGACCTGGGATAAGCAGATGTTCTTGTTTGATGGTGTTAGAGATATGGTTGCATGATGTAAGCTGTTCCAAGTAAAGCTGCCTTTGGCAATTGACTGATGGTGATTTTGTCAATG